CTGAATGATGAAAAGTGCGTCCATATGTCGTTTGGAGGGGATTCAGCGAATGCCTTTGTTATGCATGGTCAAACGGGCCCAGAAAACATCATGATGATAGATGCCAAAAAGATTTGGGCATCTGGGTCTCCTCAAACTTGTCCTTCTCACCACACCATGAGAAATCGGCTCAAAAGGCATTCGCCATTTTACGGATGATCCGACGTACCTTCTCCCGTATTACTCGCATGGACTTCCAAATACTCTATGGGGCCCACGTCAGACCGCTCCTGGAGTACGCCAACCAAGTTGTCTACTCAGGACGTACGAAAGACGTCACCCTCATTGAGCGTGTCCAGCGGGTCGCCCCGAGAATGGTTGCCGGCCTCAAATCCGTGGACTACGAAACGCGTCTCGCGATGCTTGATCTCTTTCCCCTGGAGTACCGTCTCCTCCGAGGGGACCTAATTCTTACTTACGCCCGTATACTACACTGGCGTCCTTTTTGAAGAACACCGTCCCGGCTGTACTATGGCCTACGTGAACCGGCCGGTGCTAGTGGTGTGGTGCGTGAGGCTGATGAGCGTGTGCTGAAGTTGCTGTATTTGGGGCTGCGTCTACCGTGTGTGAGTGAGCAACGTGCTGGCTCTGAGGCCTGTATGCACATATGTAGAGCCAGGGTCTCTGTGGTAGGTCTACCTGTGTGTGGCAACCATCCTGGCATGGTCGCCAATTATGTAATATGCACGCACTGGAAGCACCAGGGGACAGTGATTCTCCGAAGGCAGGTGTTCAGGACAATTTATATGGATGGAGATCAGAAACAAAGCTCATGAGCCAAAGCTCAGTAAGCAAGGTTATACGTCACCAATAATTACATATGAATCAATCAGAATGACAGACACCGTATATATACGGTAGTAGTAGTATACTACACAGCAAACACCCGGGGGGGACATAGTAAGAAAATTTTCAAGCTCAGGGCACACACATTCATTAGACAAATTTTTTTTTCATTTCGGGTAGTAGCTGCGTGGAATGACCTTCCTCCGACGGTTGTAGATGCTCCTTCTCGAACCCAATTTAAAGCACTGGCAAGCATACTGCCCCGCACTGAGAACATAAAGAGCAGTGCTACACCCTTTTTTCACTTGTGCCTTTCAGGTGAATGACAGCCACTGACCGACAAAAACAAAACCGACCCGGGAAACTTGGGCAAAAGCCTCGATCCTGTGTATCAATCGGTGAATCCGTGAGTCAGTGAATCCCTGATGTCACGTTCAGGACACGGACCAAGCGTAGGCATGCTCTGATTGGCCAGAATGCCAGCCAATCCGGATCGAGCATTTTTTACTCCACGCTTCTCGCCCCCTCACGGATATTCTAGCACGACCTTGTGGAAGACTCTGGTATTACCCTATAAATGCGATTGTAATAGTTTTTCTTTGTCTCCATTAATGGCCGTGTAAAGCGATCATGCCTTTTGATATACCATGATGGGCAAAGCAGGAAGCCAAGTGACTGATACAGAGTTGCACTACCGTTCAGCGAGACGAAAGCAATCCACCAGTGTTCGTTGCCTGATAACAAGTGTTGCAAATAAATTACGGCTGCATGAAACCGAAGCATCAGTGTTGCCGAAGATGATTATTCCTGCTACCGTGGACCATTCGGCAAAGCTTTCCTTGGTGGGCGGGCTGGGCTCGCGTAGTGCGCGATTTTAGGGTGATTAGAATTCGTTATCATAAACCGGCTGGCGTGCCTCATTGCGCACGCAAAGAAGGGACTGAAAAACAAGTATTTGGACGGGTTTTAGTTATCCAGAAGATAAGACAGATTCGTTCAGCTGTAACACACTTTCGACGCCTGGCTGCCACGCCACCTGAAAGTAGCACGAATGCTTGGATACCGCCAGATCGTCCAGGCCGAAACAGAGAGGTAGAGGTCGGTTTCGAACCACGGACCTTTCGGCCAGTAAGTTCGCGCCCTAACCACTAGGCAATCCCTCCAGACATGAAGGTCTAAATCGACCGACCCAAGAAGCAGGACACCACTTTGAGCAATCTGGCAAAATTTAGGACGCAAGCCGGTTACCCTGGCGCGCATCTGTTAGGATATAAGCACGGACTGCGTAGCAATCAGGATATCTGAATCGATCAGCAAAATCAAGATCATAATGAAATCCGAGCTGAGATCTTTCATTATGAATGTCCGAAACAAATGCTGAAACCTCTGATCAGGGCAATTTGTGCGGACGCGTAACGTCAAACACCAAAAAGATGTTCACATAATCTAAGTCCATCTACCTTTCTCCAGGGCTAACTGTGAAATCGAAACTCGCAGCCTATGCGTACACCTCTGAGCAGTGTCTCCAAAAATTGAACACACAGGTGAGAGGGGACGGTGGGAAAAACAGCTATAGATATTTTGGAATAAGGGATAATTGAATGCTTAAAACCCTCAAAAATACACCCTTCGCCGGAAGGGTAGACCTTTCTACAGCCGAAGTTCCCATCGAAACAGATTGTTTGTGGGCGACATGTGTGGGACTGCTTGCGTCCCACTGATTTTCCAAAACTATATTTGGTTGAGACGCTAACAGTGGGCTTTACAGGAGCAATTTTGTAGGTGTTCTAAAATTGCCTCCATTCGTTTCCAACCGGATAGGCCCTGTAGTACGTGATGTTTTAGCCCTATTACATCCCGCCATCCCCGCATTAGATTTGACCTCTAATATCACCTTGTTGAAGTGCGTTGACTCCGAAGAAATAACGCCCCACATTAAAGAGTGGTAGTCACCGTTCTCAGGTACAGCGGTTTACATGCCCACAAAATGTTCGGTGCGACCACCCATCTCTGCTCTGTTTTACGTCCAGGTTCAATGAGATAATATAAAGCTAAATTGTTAATATTGTATTGCGCGGTGTCCGTTTATAAAAACCGTAGCCATCATCCGCTCACTCTCTTCTAATCCGATCGTCGATCAGTGTAAATTTAACTTACTACACTCAGGTAAGGGTTTTTGCCTAACCAAAATATCCTCATAATTATGAATGTAGTGCGATGAAGAGACAACTGTGTTTGCATTTAAGAAAGTGAGTTATCTTCTCGGGCCTGTTTACTTGTGGAGGCGGCCATGTATGAGTGCACCGACACGGTTATAATATTTTGATCTCTGAGAAACCACGAAGCTTAGACACTACTTTGCATTGTACTTGTGGGTTAAACTGCAAGTATCCAACCGTTTATAGAAATATCCTGTATTTGTTTATTACTGTGTATATATTTTCTCACCCTGTTTTCAAGTTGATTACATTGGCTTTGCTCAATACCTACCACACGTACCTTTACACGCTTTTCCCAATATATATGGGCGATGGTCATTCTGCGAGTGATGTGAGAGTACGTGGACACGGATTTTTTTCCGCATTTTTGTGGAGGGTGTTTCCGTGCCGCGCAAAATCTTCGTCCAACTACAAGGTTGAACTGTTGAATAGTCAGCAAGAGTCTCTGTTGGCTGGGCTGACTGCCGAAGGACGACTGCCGGAGAGGTGCAGCCGTCCCACCCGACGGTTAAATCTTCTGCTCTCTTACGTTCGCGAAGTGATCTTATGCAATGGCCAGCCCATTTTGCAAAAAATCTTATACTCGGTACTCATTTACCAATGATGACATGAAAAAAGACGAGCACAAAGCACTCCAAAAACGTCACTCACTTGCTTCCCCAACGAACTTTATCCTCACTTGTTATCGGCTGTAATTTTAAGTACATTTTGTATGCAGTTCGACTTACGGCCATTGGTCGGCCGAGATAGTGCCACCACTGAAACATCCAATGGCCCCCGGCAAGCAAATATGCAGTTGCTCCATTCGTTAACCAAAATATCCCACAAAATCTGGATGCCCTAAGGGAAACACTTCATTCCTATCATTCCATTCATCCCTAGATGAACTGCGTGACGAAAGTGACAGAGCCGATGCCTTCCAAATAGTGTTAATCTAATGCTTCAGTTGCTTGTTCGAATATTATCATTGTTGCACCGTTTTAAACAAATGGATGTACGGCTGAAACACGTAGGTAATTGCATCGCTTCCTGTGCATCAACCCAACAAGTACAGAAGCGCAAATTAGAAGAGACCAACAAAATGAACAAAGAGATGGTTTGTATTCTTCCTTCGTAAGATTGCTCGACGCGGAATTCAGCGAAAAGTGAGTCTTCACACCGGCCAGCACTTGGTTATTAAAATTTGTTTCTCTTTCGGAACTGAGATGCTTCGACCTGTCTGTCAGTTAGAAATATGCTCCGTGCTCTTTTCGCCAGAGTTCGCAGGCGAAGATAAAAGAGAGGCTTGCCAAAGCTAACAAAAGGTAAGATAATTGTTTTATGCGGGCGCCCGCTGCACACTCGACTATTAGAGAGGACTTCATAGAAAAAAACAATTCAGCCTTGGTTCAAGAACTTACTCTTGGAAAACGGAACTTTCGGCGCAGGATAGCGCTCATGGGGCGGACCGATGAACATCAGTGCCATCATCACATTATTGGCAGTACGTTCATTTTTACACTCATTTCATTATCCTTTGACCATGAAGCACGTTGTCGTAAGCATTGAACTGTTGGTATTAAAGTACCTGTGGTGCTACCGATGGAGTGTCTTGGAATTATGGATTACATCCGCCTCTAGCTGAAAAGCCTAAAATCGTAATGGCGGTGACGTACAAGCGCTACAACACCAATCCCAAGACCAAATGACCCGGACGTCGTATCTGAGATTGGAATGAGTCACCCGAATCAACTGCGCATCTCGTAGGTTGGACTGGTCTACCACCAACCGACTGCGAACCAAATGGTGCGCAACGAAGCTGGTCAAAACATGGGCTAATCAGAATCGAGTATTTTTAGGTCGGTGCAGCGCGTACCGCCACGACAGCCGCATACCGGGTTTGTGGAAGGCTCGGTAGTCACAGCAGACGCACTGGCAGCAATTGGAACTTCTCTAGCTTTTGTATCCTTTTGAAGCACGGCAAGTTCGAATTTGGTTCCCTTTATTTTCGTGTAAATTAGTAAAACGTACACTTTCTATATTTGATCTATTTATAGAGTTAATACGAGGCGTTTGGTTATTTTTCACTCCACTGTCACCCGTCGTTGGAGATCTCTGTCAACCGCACTTTATTTCTGCGGTGAACTCATTTATGATCACGATCCAGGTTATTCAATGCTGTACTCCGCTATAGCTATTGGTGGACCATTACAAGTTTTGACGACAGACACGTAGCTGAGTTCTTTGTCGGAAAGATGGATGAAGGTCCAAGATTCGAATTATAGGAGTTGTTTATGAGGTTGTATAACACCCTAACACAACTCCAGTGCATATGGTTAGATTTCGTGTGTTGCAGATTTGGTTTTCAAACGCCTCCTGCGCAAGAAGATGTGTGGAAGCCCGGAATGCCATAGCAAGTCAAAAATCTTCACAAAAATCAAGATAGCCAGGCGGCAGGGGAATCTCTGGGTTAATTATGTTAAGAGTATCTCAGGGAAACAGGTCGTTCTGTAATACTTAACATAATTTTCCATATAAATACTCTGTTCAGAAGCTCTTCCGTTCTCGCCTTCCCCTGGTTTGTTCCTTAGATTATATTCAAGCTTGCTGAGGTGTTGCTTCCTATCTTTAATTCTACGGTCCAATATAAATAATCCGGCCACATCGACGACAGAGGGTAAAGCAGAGGTGATCCGGATACGATCCAACTAAGAACTTTCAGGCTTATTCTTCATTGCTTCACAAAGACCCTCAGACTGCACTGTACCATATCGGTAACCTCAGCTTATCCTTGGTGGCTTCGTCGACGAGGCCAATTTACACTTATGTACACTGTCCAACTCCTCGGACTACTGCGTGATACGGAATGCCGTTGATGCATACGTGTATAGCGCCGGATGAACCGCAATCCAAACCACAGCTTAATCGGTATGCCAAATAACCCCAGCCACTTTTGTGGTCCAATCAAAGTTTGGTAATTCCGCAATCGCCCTCCGCAAAGCCAAAGCCAGTTCCAATTCTGCATCCGGGGCATCCAGCCATACTTAATAATGATGGAGTTGACATGCTGCCCCAATATTTTCAGTATTACTGCAAAAATTATCTGAGAAGTCTTTATTATAGGTGGTTGATTACTGTCTAAATTCCCTTATCCCGGAGCTCGCCCTCACCCTAGAGTTACACGAACTGGCCTGTCTTCTTCAGATCTCACGTAACAATAATACTTTTCATTCTAACTTATGGGTTTCCTACGGTCAAGCATGCTCAAACGTTCACAATCAGAATAACGCGTGACTGGTGGAACTTGCAGGTACTGAAGGGTGCACGAAAATTAGGACAGTGTCACAAACAGGGGGCAAAAGCTGATGAAACTAATAATAGGTTCTTTTTCCAACTTGTTGGCAGCATGCTGATTAAGGCACGATCGGGTGGTTACCACCTGAATACAATGGGCAACAAGACAGCGGGGGAGGGTACAATCAACGAGGCGTGCTTACTACACGAAAAGACATCGCATTGCAGGAACCGAGAAAAACTACGAGAGTGGACATGAGGTCCGACGAGTTCAAAGATGAAGCTTGCCGACGAGAGCCAAAAGGGTGAACCATTGCTAGCCATGAGGGACCTCGGGCGGTTGAGTAAGTTGTTAGAGTCACAGCAAAGATGGAGTTGGAGATGCAATAAGTCGAAGTAGGAGCAAATGGCAGGTTTTGACCCGAAAATATAGTTAAACCTAAAACTGATTAGACTCACATTCAAGACCATGAATAACTTGCTACCGAATTTGGGCACATACCCACATCATCCCTTACTTAGACGTTGCTAAATAAGTTCACTGCCGGGGTAACAGATGATGTGTTTCTCCAGCCCCGACTTGAGGTTACACTCAGATGTGACAGTGAAGTTTTCAGCTCTAGGGCCCTTTGACCAAACAAAACACCTTGTTTCAATGCCAAGGCACTTCCTCCGTTTCACCCCCTGCTGTCACGGATTCACGGATTGATACACAGGATCGAGGCTTTTGCCCAAGTTTCCCGGGTCGGTTTTGTTCTTATCGGTCAGTGGCTGTCGTTCACCTGAAAGGCACAAGTGAAAAAAGGGTGTAGCACTGCTCTTTATGTTCTCAGCGCGGGGCAGTATGCTCGCCAGCGCGAGGATTCGCATAAATAAATGTCTAATAGTGCTTTAAATTGGGTTCGAGAAGGAGCGTGTACAACCGCCGGAGGAAGGTCATTCCACGCAGCTACTACCCGAAATGAAAAAATTTGAGGCCGGCAACTATTCTCGTGGCGGCCCGCTGGACACGCTCAATGAGGGTAACGTCTTTCGTACGTCCTGAGTAGACAACTTGGTTGGCGTACTCCAGGAGCGGTCTGACGTAGGCCCCATAGAGTATTTGGAAGTCCATGCGAGTAATACGGGAGAAGGTACGTCGGATCATCCGTAAAACGGCGAATGCCTTTTGGGCCGATTTCTCATGGTGTAGTGCGAAGGACAAGTTTGAGGAGACCCAGATGCCTAAACCTTTTTTGGCATCTATCCTCATGATGTTTTCTGGTCCCTTTTCACCATGCATAACAAAGGCATTCGCTGATCAAAGGCATTCTCTGTCAAAGCCTGGTATCGTGAGGCTTGCGCTCAAACTATCCCCCCGAGTTTATTCCTTCAGCTCCTCATCTTTGGACATTTACTACCCCGATTTCCACATTATTTCACCTGAGACTCTTCAAAGCGTGAAAACCAGGTGCTCGACAAGATTACTCACCAATACCCAAAGTCAAAAGGAAGAAACCACCAAGCAGGTGGTGGTCGTTGGCTTGTTCGCTGAGCTGGGCAATTTGTTTGCAAACGTTTCATCACCAGTCGAGGTGACATCATCAGTGCGTTATTGTGGAGCGTAGGAGTGCGTAGCGGTGGCCTGGTGGTTGTGCCCACCACCAACCACCAATATTAAAATCTATTAACACATCTGCTTGTTAAGGCCATGATTACAGGACATTAAGTCGCTAGCCCAGTGGTACATCCCAAACTATTCCTTCCCACTCCAGACTGTCCCCTTCAGGCTCTTATCCAAATTGGATCTTGACCAGCAACGACGAATAACCACCTACATGACCTCAAACGCATCCGAAATGAGTCCGTTTTTGTTTCCTCAACCCTTTCCATTTGTTAAACCAACTCAGCCTCACAATTCAATTTCTATTTTCCCCACCAGAATTTCAACGATCATACTTATGTTGCTTGTTTGGCAATGAGAGTTAGCACCATTTCTGCAGCCGAAATGAAATCCACCCAATGGCCATCAAAGTGAGTATATCCACATTCGATGCGCAGTATGCTTCTGAGACGCAACTTGCCATCTATCAACACCACGAAGTACCCCCTTTCGTCATCACCCACAATTTCCTCGACTTAAGCCGATAACTCGACCGTTAAAGGGCGCTAATATTCAACAAGTTTCTAAGGTTTAGTTATTCCGGCCGGCTACTTGAATGGAACAGTGGTACCTTCTGCCTCGTTCTTAAAGCTTTTCGTTTTTCAAAACATACGACAGATTGTAACGTGACAAAAATGTCTGCTAGGGTTTGCTTGCTCTTTGTTAAACTGTTTCCCACCGCGTCCCGATTGAAAAGCCGGAGCGTTTACCAACATTTACGCTTCCGACAACTTGTGGAATATACCTATTTCGGCAACTTAAACGGTGATGATAGATGCTACTTTAATTCACAGCATTTGCTGAAGAATCTCGCATGCCACAAGGAATGAAACGCTTTTCCGGCGCACGTAAAGAAGCAAGCGAACAAATTCTCCATAGGAAACTCGAGTCCCCTCTACCAAGTTTCAAATTGGGGGGGGGGAATAAAACACAGCAAGTCGCCATACGTTTGCTTACCACATTCAAATTAGGCCACATTTACCAAGATATCACTTTAGAGGCAGTTATACGGCCAGAAACGGCAACTGGAAGTATGCTGAGAGGCGTGTAAATGAATGTTACCCTGAAAGATTAAAAATTGCAGTCAAAAGGACTAAACTCAACAAAAAGGTGTATGCACTTCCGTTGCCCTCCTAAATTAAAATCTGACACACTTCTTGCAGTGATTTGCAGGTCTTAAGAATAAGAAAATGGAAGACGCTTTCATCGAACCAAGCTGCCTGTTGCACGTTATGGGATCAGCTGTGTCGCAGTAAAAATCTAAGTTCCCAGTTCATTTCACCGTAAATTTACAGTGTGATGTATTAGCGCTGGCCAGCGTGTAAACTTTTTAAAACCACACACCCGGCGAACCACGGCACTAGGCCCTTGCGATCCACTGAAATCCACAACGAATACTATCCCCTTTCACAACCCCGTTAATAAAGATTATGTAACAAGAATCTCGGTTTTCCATAACTCAGTCACCACTTAAACAGTGAACCAAGCTGCCTGGTCATTACTTCAGAAGCACTGTGGTCCAAGTTGTATGCTAGACCCTATTTACCACTGTTTGTGTTTCAACTTATAATTCCATTAGTCTACAAAAATAATTTTTGATCGTGCTCGTAAGATCGGTTCCAGTTTGGGCTTGCTCTTCTGTTTGTGCTAAAATCGTGAAAATTCGAACATTGAATCCTCTTATCCAAAAGGACGTTTTTTGGTACGGCTTGCACGTGGTTTGTGCACACTAGCTTTGACCGCTGTTTTGCATCACCACAGTGGGGAGAGTTACCAAGCTACCCCGGAGTGCTGCTGTTGACGCGTATCAGTGCTCATCTGCTTGCGTGGTTACTAACAATATATTTCCAAAGTCGCGATAGATTCTAAGCGTCCGCTCAATAACCATGTCGTGCTCTGTTTTCCGATTTTGCTGCCAAGGTTTGGGAGCATGATGACGCCCAGTTGATTAGCCGGTATATATAATCCATACGCTAGTCCCTGATGGCTTCCGCACAACCTGAGAAAAATTCATGGAGTGCATTTATACGAAATAGAATTTTGGATGCACGGAAGTTGCTTTATGTAATTTTTGGTCGATGTTGAACGATTACTTCATAGCTAATGGACCTTTGCCCTTTCCAACCAGTTAGAGGGTCAGCCTTTTTACTATTCATTGTGCATGTTGTAGTTTTGTGGCCGCCTCGGAATACTTCTTCTTTTTACACAGTCGAGAATTTTAGTTAACTCCCGGTAGCTTACCGCAGTTAAGCCGCCTTCCAATTAGGTTTAATAATGGTGCTAAGTTTACCGATTGTACCATTTAGGTTTTCCGCTTGAGACCGATTCATAGCGTGTCTCATCCATGGATAGTGCCTTCATCAGTACCGTCGTCACAAACTGGAATATGTTTCCAAATTCTGCATTCAGCAGACTTTTACTGGAGACGCGGCCACTTATGTCGCGTGCTTCAAGCCACCTCGGCAACCGAGCAGATTTCTAGTCGCATTTATCACTGTCTGATCTCACTACACTCCGGTGGCCCCCATGGTCTGAAGCCTACAGCCAATGGATGTGCCTGGTACACGGTAACGTCGGTTACCAAGCTTCCTAGTTTTATTCCGTAGTTGAGCCTGCTGTATAGGGATTTTTCTGAAGCATCCTGATTCTCACCGCGAGATCCTGTACTGATTCACAATGTGAATGTCATTCTTCTACGTACAAACATGGGCCGTGAATCTTCGGAATTATCTCTGATTTCCTCTGTTTTGGTTATAAAAACTACTAGCAAAGCCAAAAATTCCCGGTCTGATCACAGCACATTGTTTCCGCAGAAATAAGCCAACGGCCTTCTCCTTCTTGTAGGAGAACGGGGAAGCCAACAGTGATCTAACAATGGTATTTAAAGTCTGCAGGGAGCAATATGAAGGTCTGCATTCTGCCCCAACAAATTTGTCACAATCAGCGTTGTCAAGATGTAAATGCTAACGGCCTCTAACCAATTTACTCTTCACGGAGGAGGAGGTTGGTCAACCATCGCATAATGCATACCTGTTCCTACATCTACTGACAATTTGTCTCGCGATTGTTGACCTCTTTCCCATCCAGGGATAACTAATGCTTACCTATGTCGTGTTTGAACAGGGTTCGATTTTTCACCGTTAACCCAGTTAAGAAGATTTCCAAGCTCATAGGGTAAGCTCTCAGGGAGTCCTCGCGATGGTACGTTCGAAATCGGTTTCGTTTTTCCCTCGTGCAAATTCGTGAAAATTTTTTTCGTTGTTCAATCTATTCACAGAGTACACACGAGTAATTGTTGAATTTTATTACTCTAACAAAACATTTGAGTGATAACCCTTCATATTTTGCGCGCACCTATTTTACATCTAGTCCGAAACATGACGTCAATCCATACCGATCGCCCTCCGCAGCCATTAGTAGACCACAATAGATGTGGGCGGAATGGCTGCCCGTCGAACGTCAAACGCGGTATGCAATGCCACGCCTGCAAGGCCTGGTGGCATTTCAAATGCACGGGTTTACAGGACGACCAAATAAGCCGACTAGCCAACTCTCCTGACCCGTTTGTCTGTGCCAGCTGCCTCTATGTCAAGGGTGCAATGCATACCGCAGCGAAGAGAAGAGTCCCCCGAAACGGTACCCAATCCCCAGTGCAGATGCCGAAAGACCACTGCCAGTGTTCCGCTTTAATCGGGATACTCGACGCGAAATTAGAGCGTCTTTCGAAGGCACTGGAGGACTCAGGCGCTAAGAATGCAGCGACCTGGGCGAAAGTCGACAAGGAACTTTCCTCGCTGAACCAATACCTCGCGATGTCCATACCGGGTCCCATGGCTGAGAAGAAAGTCATACAACTTTCTGACGCAGCTATAAAAACCGCCACAGCGTCTCTAGTGGACAGACACCTAATGGAAATCAGACTAATAATCTGGGGGTCATTCTCCGGAAAAATCACGCCAGCAAAGCTGGCACAGTCGATCCTCAGCAAGCCTGATCAATCGCTCCACGCAGAATGGCTACGCCAAAAGGGAAGTAAGCGAACCCTTGGACTTCTAGTTACTCTTTCTTCCCCGTCCG